TTCTCAGGTCCGGATACTTGTTTTTGTTCTGGGATAGTTATACATTTCCATCTATGCAGCAGTAGTACTTTGTGAAAGGAAAAAAAAGTCAAAATAGTCATCAAAGATGAGGATATTGGGCCCCGAGAGCCAAAGCAGTGGAGTCTGAGAATTTTTCTACAAAAAAATAATGTTTCATCAGAGCCCAATTGGATATGAATATTAAAAGGTAAGATCAGATGTTTTATCAGGCTATTATTATTTTTACATTTAGATATGGCAGAAGGCCATGTGATGGAAAAGATACAGTATTCAGGGTTTTTCTCTTGAAGTCTGAACCATTTTTATATTTTACTTAAAACAAGTATTTACTAAAAACAAAGTACATAATAATCAAAATGCTCTCATTATCAGCAAAATCTCAATTTTAAAGTTGTTTTTTAATTTCAAAGTTTAAGTTGTCTGTCCTTGTCTTTCACAAATATTTTTGTATAATTATAACGTTGATTATTATGAAATTCTCTTAACATGCTGATTAATCATATTAAATGTCGATGAAAACATTGTCAATGATCACATTTGCAGCATTGTCGTTTTTTTTTCAGTGTTTTAGCGAAAGTATCAATGTGTTTTTCATATTTCTCCTACTGTTGTTATAATAACCGCGTCATCTGCAGCTTTTAATGTCACGTTATAAGCATCTTTAGCAGGAGAGAGATGCAATACGCACGGAGCGTAATATAACGCCGAAAAATCATTACCATGAACAACCCTAAGTGCTTATGATGTGTACAGCTCTGTTGTTTTGGCATGCTGTTGACTTTAAACTGTAGAAACTGTAAATGCCGTTGTCATTATGTCTCACAGTCCAGTTGCAACCAAGCTTTATGTGAACACCAAAATAGGACATTGCTAATTAGCATTTCTGTAGATATATTGTGTAAAACAATAGGCTGTTATGTGTTGTGGACTGCACATGGAACAGCCTTGAAGGAGACATATTATGCCTCTTTTTACAATATGTAATATAAGTATGGTGTCCCCAGAATGTGTCTGTGAAGATGGTTGGTAGATGCACCCGGGGACCTGATTATAGCACTTAAAACCTGGAAAAGTCAGATTTTCATGATATGTCACCTTTAAATGAATTTCACACTGCAGGAAATAGTAAAAAACTCCCCTCCACTCAGGGCTATGGTGTCATTTCTGTCTTAAACATACAGTTGCACTGAAGTACATTTAAGTAAATCCTCAGAACAAGACCTTGCATAAAGTAATATTGTTGTAGATAGACACTATGGGGCAAATCTGAAAATGTAAGGTAAAGTGTGAACTGAATTAAATGAATGCAGTCAGTGTTTGTGCATGGCACACTCATTTCAAAACTCAGGCAAGTCTGGATCCAAATGCTGATTTAATGATTTTACTATACATTTACATTTAGGGATTTAGCAGATGCTTTTATCCAAAGCGACTTACAAACGAGGACAATGGAAGCAATCAAACCAACAAAAGGGCAATAATATGAAAGAGCTGTGACTATACAATAAAATGTCACATTTATTCCCAATATGTAATAATCAATTCTGCTTATTTCTGTACATTCTGTTGTCTTACCCCTTGCTGATCAAATGTATTCTCTATTTTACAACAGTATATACTTGCTGAAATCATAGCTGATTTCCAGACGTTTCTGGCTGTGAAGTGTGGAAGGGAGGAATTATTTGATAAAAAAGACAGTAAAATTTTAAATATTGTGAAATAAATGTAATAAATTTGAAAAAAAAAAAATAATAATAAATGTATTTGTTGTTATAGTAATTCTATGTTTGATTTTTTTTTTAGAGATGCAAAAGGCACTGATAGCGTCATATTCATATATATATATATATATATATATTTAATATGGAAAACATATGGATCCTGTTATTTACAGCCAAATAATAGAGTACACAACCCATCAATAAATGAGAAGACTTGAATATTCAGCGTTGTTGTGAGTGAAGTGAAGTGACATGTGGCCAAGTTTGGTGACCCATACTAGGAATTAGTGCTCTGCATTTAACCCATCCAAAGTGCACACACACACCGTGAACACACACCCGGAGCAGTGGGCAGCCATTTATGCTGCGGGGCCCGGGGAGCAGTTGGGGGTTCGGTGCCTTGCTCAAGGGCACCTCAGTCGTGGTATTGAAGGTGGGAGAGAGCGCTGTACATTCACTCCCCCCACCTACAATCCCTGCCGGTACGAGACTCGAACCCACAACCTTTGGGTTACGAGTCCGACTCTCTAACCATTAGGCCACGACTTCCCCCTCTGTGAAGTTGTGGTGTAACTTCGGTGGAAAAGATTGGTTACAAAAAGGTTTGAAGACAAACCGTGCAGAACTATATTTGTTTGTTGGTTGGTTGGTTGGTTTATTTCATTTTTTAAGTGAATTTCAAAAAAATAATGAAAAATCTATATGTTCACATTTAACATGTAACCTATATCAGCATAATGATTTGATAACTAGATAAAAATAAATAAAATTAAATGGAAAGGAAAGGAAATGACAGGAAATGGCATCACAAACAAATATTCAATTCATTCGGCCGCACCGATGTCATCAAATGACGTCATGCACATGCACATGCACGCGGAGGGCAGTCGAAATTCAGCATGACACTGGAATTTGAGGATGCCTGATATAAACCATGCAGATGAATCACCATTAACCACACAAGCGAGACGCAATAAAAATCATGTGATTTAGTTAGCAGCTTTATGGAGGCTAAATGCTCTAAATGACCCGGTTAAACCCACCTGTTGTGCAGCTGAACTAGTGGCTCTCGTGCCCGATGTGGTTCGGTTTAGGCTTCACTTTCACAATAATACTTGATATAAATTAGATGTTGTTACTGTGAGAAATGTTTTAGATAACAAACTCCCATTCAGATTTCAAAACTGTATTAACAGTCTTCTGTCAGCCAAGAAGTCGACTGAGAAAGCCAGAGAAAAGCAGAAGCAGGAGACGAAGTGATGATGATAAAGAAATGAGCAGAGTTTATTGAGTAATCCTTAGTTGCACATGTTTCAATGCTCAGACTTCATCTGACCAGCACAAATCCAACAAGCAATGGAAAATGACTAAAATGGATGAAATGGATCCATTATCTGATCTCTTATTCATGAAGACAAATATCCACTGAAACCACACAATCATAAGACTAAACAACAATTTAAGAATAGAAGAATAATATAATAATATAAATGACTAATCAAAGAATGAATCAATGAAATGAGTAAATAAATGGTTTAAATGATTATATGATTAATTGTAATAATAAAATGATTAAATGATAAATAATTCCAAATGAATAAAGAATAAATTAATATTAAAGAAAGTAAAACAACACACATGTTTGGAGGCTCTCTTAAATACATTTCTAAAATGTCTTAATAAATGCAAAATTGTTTACTGCAGATTATACTATCAGCATAACAGTTTGAGTGAAAAGTAAAATCTGAGAACATGAACTTCATGTAATTTGCATTAGACTGCAAAAAATATTTTCTTCAGTTGTTTTTTTTCTTCTTCAAACATTCTAAAGTCAACATACATTTGCTGGAGAACCATAATTGCTCTTAATTATTTATTCTTGTTTTGTACCAAAATTGTCTTTTTGCTTAAAACAATAAAAAAATATGGGCCCTGAAAGATGTTTTTGTTTTGATTTTTCTAACCCCATTGGCACGTGTTTTCCTTGTTTTAAGCAAAAACTCACTTAATTTTTGTACATTTATCATAAAACAAGAATGAATATCTCAAGCAAATGATATACAATTTAGATATTTGTACTGGAAAACAAGACAAAAATACAGTGAAGAACATTTTTGCAGAGTGTGAATTCATTAAGGTTGTGTAATTTAGGGATTGTTTATGTAACTGCAATTCTCAGCATTTAATTGCACAATGTCGTGCTCACGTATTATCTTGAGTCACTTCAGTCTCCTAATCGAATGCACAGCATATCAAATGCAGATTAATGAAAGATTTGTTGTACTTGAATCTAAGCAGTGTTTGAGTTTCACAGGACAATTTTTATTCCCTGATATCTCAAAATATTTAGTTATAAACAAATGCAAAACAGAAATATATCATGTAGTCCATTTAATTTCCGTAATTATTTAAACAGTTACTAAAACACCTCAGTGTTTCCTAAATATAATGCATAAAATATGATAAAAACACACTGTAGATATCAAAGTCATTATTTCTGTATTATTTTAAATGTTAATATTTCAAAATAACTAAATACTAAACTACTTAGACGAGCCCAAGACTAGACTATTATTTTTATTTATTTATTTGATCATGAGAAAGTAGTATTTGGAAATGCATTTGTCCTGTGTTTTTATCCAATGTGATCTTATTTGTATTCATAAATATTTGTACAGTATGTAAAGCATCGAATCATTAATGATATCAATGCAACTGTATTAAATTTTAATGGTGTTAAACATAAAATCTTATTTATTATAAATTCTTGTAGCTTTCATAAATTCATAATTCATAAATGACTGGACAAGATATGGTACGTATCAGAGTCTAGCGTTTGGATGTTACTCATGCGTCTCTTGTGTGTTTTCTTGTGTTTCCTGCTGCTGGAAGATCATCCTGTCAGGTTGGACAATCCATGTTATGCTGGATGTGATTTCCACGCCCTGATCCGAGAGGATCTGCTTCATCTAGAGACCAGATTACATCAGTGATTAATGAACGAGATCAATCTACCGCCGTTTAGACATCAGTTAACTAAAACTAAACTATTAAGAAACATTTTTGTTAATTTAAAATACAATAATCACTGCAATACACACACACACACACACACATATATTTATTTTTTGTTGTTTTCCAGTACAAGAAATATAAACATTCTTAAATCAACATATGTTTAAATTTTTTTTCTAATGTTTTTTTTTTCATAAATGACTGGACAAGATATGGTACGTATCAGAGTCTAGCGTTTGGATGTTACTCATGCGTCTCTTGTGTGTTTTCTTGTGTTTCCTGCTGCTGGAAGATCATCCTGTCAGGTTGGACAATCCATGTTATGCTGGATGTGATTTCCACGCCCTGATCCGAGAGGATCTGCTTCATCTAGAGACCAGATTACATCAGTGATTAATGAACGAGATCAATCTACCGCCGTTTAGACATCAGTTAACTAAAACTAAACTATTAAGAAACATTTTTGTTAATTTAAAATACAATAATCACTGCAATACACACACACACACACACACATATATTTATTTTTTGTTGTTTTCCAGTACAAGAAATATAAACATTCTTAAATCAACATATGTTTAAATTTTTTTTCTAATGTTTTTTTTTGTTTGTTTGTTTGTTTGTTGTTCTTCTTCTTCTTCTTCTTTTTTTTCCAATGAAAAATATTTTTCCAGTGGGCTCAGAAAAATAAAACTTAATTCAAAAGAAAAGTGTAATGGCCATGATGCAAATATTTTCTAATAATTCAGTGGCCTGTCGTCAATTATTCCTTAAATATATATACAAAAAACATAAAGAAAAAAAGTCTTCATTCATTTTTCATTTCCTTTTCAGTATAATTTTGGTGTGTGTGTGTGTGTGTATATATA